CTTTTCATGTTCTTCCTCGTTTCGGGAGTAGACCAGGATGTCGTTGATGAATACAATGACGAGTCATCTAGGTGGGGCTGGAATACTCGATTCATGAGGTCCATGAATATAGCGGGCGCATTGGTGAGTCCGAAGAGCATCACCATGAATTCGTAATGGCCGTAGCGTGTTCGAAAGGCTGTTTTCTGGATATTTGGGTTGGCTACTCTTATCTGATGGTATTCGAATCTTAAATCAATTTTCGAGAACACCCCTGCTCCTTTAAGTTGGTCGAATACGTCGTCGATTCGGGGAAGAGGGTATTTATTCTTTATTGTAACTTGGTTTAGTTCCCTGTAGTCGATGCACAGGCGCATGCTCCCATCTTTCTTTTTAACGAATAATACTGTGCTCCCCATAGTGAGGAGCTGGGGCGGATGTATCCTTTATCTAGTAGTTCTTGAAGTTGTGTTTTTAGTTCCTTCATTTCCTTTGGTTCCAGTCTGTAGGGTGGTTTAGAGATCGAAGCAGCGCCTGGTATTAGGTCTATCGTGAACTCGACTTCTCTAGTTGGGGGTGCTCCGGGGGTTTCGTCTGGGAAGACGTCGGTGAATTCGTTTACCACTAGGATGGTTTGGGGTTCGGCTATCTCGGTGTTGAGGTCCTTGACCGAGCATAGGAAGGCGTCGTTTCCTTGGGTTAGATATTTCTTCATTTTTATCATGTTTACTAATTTGATTTCCGGATCCTTGTGGGTTCCGTGGTAGGATACCCTTTTGCCGTTTGGTCCCCGTAAGACCACTTTTTGTTCGCCGCATAAGATTTGTGCCTGGAATTTCCCTAGCCAGTCCATGCCCAAAATCACTTGTACTCCATCTAGTCTGAATTGTATTAGGTTGCTAGGGAATTCCACTCCTTTGATGGTGATTATTATGTTTTTGTACGTGCGGTCACATCTTATGATTTCACCGCAGGCTACTTTGACCTGGAGTTGTACTTTGGTGCTGGTGTTAAGACCGAGTTGAGTGGCGAATTCGGTTGCTATAAATGAGTTGGTAGCCCCTGAATCAAATAATACGGTGGCGGGGGTGGTGTGTACAAGGAAGGTTCCGGAGACTATGTTGCTATCTCCGATTTTGGCTTTGCTTATGGTAAGGATCCTTCCTTGAGTGGCCGGTGTCACGACTTGGTGGGGTAAGGTAGCCCTGGCGGTTTTAGGCTCCCGGAGGGGGTTTGTGTGGTTCCTTCCAAACTTTCTTTTGTGTCCCAGGTGCGTTTCCTGTGGTTCGTCTGGGATTTGTTGTAGTTGGAATGCCTTAGCGTTGGCATCTTCGAGGGTTCTCGGCTCTTGTATAGTTAGGGCCTTCTGGTTTTTGAGGTTGAGGCCCCTTATGAATTTCTTGATTTTGATTGTCTCTGTAGGTACTAGTTCGGGAGTGAGGCGAGCTAGCTTAAGGAACTGCCGGTAGTATTCTGTGATCGGGGTTGCTCCCTATTTTAGGTGGAGGAATTCCTCGTATATGGTTGCTTTCAGGTGACTGGGGTAGAACTGTTCTCGTGGTCGCGTTTTTAGGGCTTCCCAGTTGAACCCGGGGCTTTGTTCGCAATTGGGTTTCTCGTGGACCCACCAGGTGTCGGCCCCGTGCCTGAACTAGAAGGAGGCCGCCTCGACTTGGTGGTTTTCTGTGCATCCCGTTGCCCTAAATATTTTGTCGAAGGTTCTGATCCATTCTTTGAGGATCGTGGGATTTTCGTCCCCGGAGAAGGTGGGCGGTTGGTGTTCCGAGACTTGGCGGTGGATTTCCAAGTTTCTATTTGGTGGCGATGGTTGGGGGACTGCATTGTTTAATGCCTGGGCAATTTGGGCCAGACGTTGTAGATTTTGAGTCAGGAATTCCTGTGTGGGAAGTTTCGGTGCTTTTGTCTGCTTCTTCTTTGATGTCATCCTGGGGTTTCATAGGTTGATATTATTTTGCATCCTTACCTTGATGCTATGGATGTAGAGGAAGTTTATTTAAATTATGTGTTAGTTGGTGTGAAGGAAGTGTAAGGTCTCACGATCTCACCACGTGTCCTATGATTCCCCAAATCCTATCTTACCAAACTTTTAAGGTTTTAAGCCTATTGTCCTAAGGTCTTGGTCTTAAGCGTCTTTGATTGCTATAATCTGCAAGCGCACAGAGTCAATCAGAGTATAAATTCCTGGAGTATTCCAGGGTCGATCCCACGAAGAACACTATTAACTGTTATCTTAAATAATCAATTTGTTGATTAGGAAAAACGCAAATAATTAGAATTAATATAATTAAAAAGAATATTTATGAAATTAAAGCAAAGAAAATTCCAATTGAGAGAAGACTAGGGATTTGGGGTTCACCTATTAGATAATTAACTAACTCTCCTAAGTATTAATTCTTACGAATATAGTGATGATTGCTTCAAATATATCCTAATACTCCGTCGAGCTACTAGGTTGTATCCAATTAACTGTGATCATCCGTCGATATCTCACCAACATTAATTAAACCCATTAAGCAACAATCAAATATCACCACAAATACCTAAAGCTATGTCTAGTTTAGGTCAATTGTGTTAATCTTACGAGTTCTAGGTTCATAATTCACCTGTCAGTTCTTCTTATGAACCCTAATGTTAGAATTATGCAGTGGCCAGTCACACAATCAACAATTAAAATACATAAAATAAATATAATCAAGTTCAATTATTAAATTGAAATTGAAAGAATTAACACATGAAAAATAGTCAATTAATCTAATCAAGTCTAATCCAAATCCCTAATTAAAATTCTATCCGATAATCATAATTAAATGCATAAACAATTCAAGAAATATTATTCTAGAGATAGAAACGAGAATAAAAGTTGAGACAAGAGAAGCAATCCAAGCCTAAGAAGATTGTAGTCTCAATTGCTTCGTTGCCGCCGCTGCACGCCTAGCCACTGCAATTCCTCTCGCCTCTTTCCCCCTGTTCTGTTCTGTCCTCCTCTACTACCGTACGCACCCAATATATAACCTAAGCCTTAATCCCTTTCTTTTTTCTCTTCCTGCTACGCAAAACCTCAAAGGAAAATAATAAAATAATATAACATAAAATAAAGATAAAGTAAAGACAATTATAACCTAATAACATAACTTAATTAAACTTAATTAAAATTTAAGATATAAAACTACCAAATAAATTTAATTCTATAGCTAAAATAAAACTCCTATTTATATTAATAAAAATGCAACATTAGCCTAATATTTATTAAAACCAATCTAAACTAGTAACATATAAATAATATAATATTTATAATAAAATCGACCCTAAAATTTAATTTATTTATGCAACTCACTAACTAAAATTACTCCAAATAATGCCTAGAAATTAAGCTTATCAAACTTCCCCACACTCAAGGTTTTGCTTGTCCCCAAGCAAACTTATGCAATGAAATCAAACTACCAACCATAACCATGTCAACTAGTCTTTCAATTCAAGGGAATTGGTAAACACATAATACTTCATGAGAGTTCAAAGTCATATGCACACAAGACAATAGAGAATAGTAGTCCTCACGGTTGTTCACTAAATCTCTCATATAAACATGTATAATAAAGGTACACACCATCCCCTATTGAGAGTGCACTTGCCATAGGCTTGCTTGTCCACCAAAACTCCACTACCCAAATTATATGAAAAACACTAGTCAAAAGGTCTTTATTTATGGGTTGTAATGGGGCCAAGGGTATGTGGTTTAAGAAAGAAAGGATATAAGGAAATACAAATAAAGTCTAAGGGATTAGTAGAGTCATAATTTCACCATATCAAGAGCACGAACTCGTATTCTACCCATACAATGAACTCTATTAAAACAAGCTATCACTGTTTCATTCCCCCTCATCATTTTCACTAATAAACAACTTTCAAAACCTCCATCTCTTTTTCATCTTTTTTTCCTTTTTTTTTCATTTGTTTTCTCTTTTTTTCTCTTTTTTCCTCTTGTTTTTCTCTGGTAAAACCGAATAGATTGCTCCTCATTTTCACACAACCCTCAATAGTACTCTTCCCATAATCATCAAATTTCTATCATGCCTTCATTGCTCATAAATCATTTTAAGAATAAAATGAGCACAAAAGTTTGGCTAACAAGATTTTCCAACCCACAAACTAGAACATATCATTTTGTTCTTTTTTTTTTCTTTTTTTTTTTCACCCCTTTGATCACAACCAATTCCTCATCCAAAGCAACTCAGTTGTAGAATCACCTTTCAACTCCAATCTCACCCATACTTCATCACTTTTGGTCATCTTGCACAGATAAATGAAATAATGACATCCACTGACTCAAGGACGGGTTAAGAGGCTTCTTTTTATGAGTTAAGGTTCTTTGGGATTGGCTAATGAAGAAACATGTCTTATATTTATTTTAAAGCTCAAAAATGGTTCACTAGGGGAAATATAACATGTATAAGGATGTGGTCATTTTTAAGGCCATAAGGCTAAATCCTAATGCCTAAATCATTCTCATGTCAACATATAACATGTAGCTCTGAAATGGTATGAAGCAAGTTCTAGAAGTAACACAATCAAAGAGGGCAAATAAACACAAAAAATGAAAATAAGTTGCAGTGGGCAACCTCTAGGCTCAAAAGCTCACGGTATGACAGAATTTGACTACTAACTCTATGCAGGCATACATATAGCCAAACACATTCATTGATATTATGCACTCCCAAAACTCTAGAACTTATCTCCCAATCAACATAGTCATAAGAAGACATTTTTTTAAAACTTTATTTTGCTGAAAAATTGCATAAAAATGAAAGAAATGACGCTGAAAATCCCATAAAATGCAGAAAATTAGTGCAGAAAATGTAGAAAGAAAAATGCAAAATTTTACTGTAGCAAAATGCAGAAAAATAGAGAAAATGCAGAAAATGTTGCAGAAAATTACAGGAAAAATGCAAAATTTTTTTATATTGCCTATTTTGCATAAAACTTGTAGAAAATATCCTCTAATCTTACTTTACCTTCCCCACACTCAAACTCAACATTGTCCTCAATGTTAAATATAAAAGCAAGTATGAGAAAATAAAATAAACAGGAAACTTCCCTGTTAGTTGCCAGTTTCTTCCGGGGCTGCCTTTTGGTGAAGCAACCATGAATGATCTCTTTTTCTCTCTTTCAATCTCTATGGCCTCATACGAACAAACTTTAGTGACCATGAAAGGACCAAACCATCTAGACTTCAATTTCTCTAGAAAAAGCTTAAGACAAGAATTAGACAACAAAACTTCTTGCCCTACATTGAATTCTCTCCAAAAATTATTTTTGTCATGCCAAGCTTTAGTCAATGTTCTCCACAATCTCTCTTCTTTTGCATGAAGTAAATCAGCATAAGAAAACATAAGAAAAGTATCATTGTTACTAAAAAATTCGTATTTGAACCGCAATGAAGGTGGTTTAAGTTCAAGTTGATGTGGTGTTTCACTAGGTGAATTCTTAACAAATTCTTCTTCTAAAGGTTTCTCAATAACATCAACAAAAAGACATGATTCATCAAAGGTTGGTAATTTTACAGCTTTAGAGATAGAGAATTCCTCTTTTTCTGTACCTACTCTAAAAATCAATTTCCCTAAAGGCATATCAATTAATACTCCTCCTGTCAACAAAAATGGCCTACCAAGTATAAGAGATGTATCTGTATCACTACCCATATCAAGAATCAGGAAATCAGCAGGAAAATAAAATTTACCAACTTTTACCAATATATCCTCCACTACTCCAAGCGGGTACTTGACTGATCTATCAGCAAGTTGAAGAGAGATTGTTGTTGGCTTCATTTCAGCTATTCCCAACTTATGGAAAAGATTTAAAGGCATAAGGTTAATACCGGCACCTAGATCACATAAGCATTTATCAATGACAGTATTACCAATAGTGCAAGGAATAGAAAAACTTCATGGATCCATTAACTTAGGAGGTAATTTGCTTTATAGAATAGCACTACACTCCTCATTTAAATGCACAGTAGCAAACTCTTCCAATTTCTTTTTATTAGACACAATTTCCTTAATGTACTTGGCATAAGATGGCATATTGGCAAGTGCTTCTGCAAAAGGAATATTAATCTGCAATTTTTTAAAAACCTCTAAAAATCTTTTAAAGTTATTGTCCCGGTTCCTCTTTTGTAACCTTTGTGGATATGGAATGGGGGGTACATAAGGTTTTACTATAGAGGAATTGAGGTTTTGATCACTAGAATTCTCTTTAGGCACTTGATCCTCTTCTTTATCACTCTCTTTCTCAACCCTCGTGGGTTCATTGTCTTTCATAATTTCATTCAATATCTTACCACTTCTCAACGTGACAGCCATAGCTCCTTCCCTAGGGTTTATTTCAGTGGTACTAGGAAACTTACCTCGATCCTTTTCGGCAACCAATTTAGCCAATTGACCTACTTGCATCTCTAAATTATGAATGGATGCTTGGTTGGACTGAGCAACCTTATCAATTTTTGCATCCATTTTCTTCATCATAGTGTCCTGGCTAGCCATGTATTGCATGAACATCTCCTCCAATTGAGGCTTCTTCTCCTGAGCAGGAAGTTGAGACTGTTGTGGTGCAGGTGGCTGCTGGAAAGGTCTGTATTGCTGCTGCTGGAATCCTGATGGTCCTTGTTGCTGGAATCCGGGTGGTCCCATTGGTCTTGCATTACCTTGATCTCTCCATGAGAAGTTAGGGTGATTTCGCCAACCTGGATTATATGTATTAGAAAATGGATCATTTCTTGGTTGTTGCCTACCCATGTTGGATCCCATGTAATAAGCTTCCTCATAAGATGGTTGTGATGACTCTGCATTCATACAAACAGAAGAATTATGACCATATGTATTGCAATAAGAACAAAATTCTCTATTCGAACTATCACGAGTCATCAATAAGTTCATCTGTTTAGTCAATTCAGCCACTTGTGTTGTCAACTCAGATTGTGTGCTAATTTCATGCACAGCAGCTCTTCGACCTTTCACTGCCTTTTGTCGAGAATTAGTAGCTAAGCTCTCATAGATAACTTCTAATTCATCACTATTTTTATCACCTGTGTATCCACCTGCAGCAGTATCTACAAGAGACTGACAATTAGGAGTTAAACCATCATAAAAGAATTGTGTCAACAATAACAATGAGAATTGATAGTGTGGACATTGTGTCAAAAGCAATTTAAAACGATCCCATGCTTCATGAAATAATTCACCATCTCTTTGAGTGAAAGTGCATATCCTACTCCTATAGTCCATTGTCTTTTGAGATGAATAATATTTAAACATGAAAGCATTGTAAACATCATCCCAAACTCTTAAAGAACCCTCTGGTAAATTTAACAACCACTGCCTAGCATCACCCCTCATGCAATATGGAAAACATTTTATTCTAAGCTCTTCTTCAGATAAATTATTTAATGGTAAAGTTTGTACCGTACTATAGAGCTCTCGCATGAAACCCAAAGTATCTTCACTTCCCAAACCGTTAAAGGTAGGGAACATATTCAGATGGAAAGTCTTGAGTTCATAATTCCTATCTGCATCAGATAATTAAATGCAAGAAGGATTAACAGCTATTACCGGTCTTTGGATGTCTCGAAGACGTGGTTGAGCTGCTTGATTTTGAGGAGGTGGAATTATTGGTGGTACGGGGTCATCCAGTTGACCCACTCTATTGTTCTCAGCCATTTCAAGCCGCCTTCGTACCCTGTTTTTTCTGCAAGTACGCTCAATTTCAAGATCAATAGGAAATAATTCCACGTTTTTATGCCTTAGTGAACGCCTTAAGTTCATAAACAGAATAAAATAAAAATAGGAAAAACAAAAACTTAGTAAAAAAAAATAAGAATAAAATAATAACGAACCTAACAACCTAAATAAATCAGAAAAGAAAAACTTTTAAAAACAACTTAATAAAGTGTTCCCCAGCAACGGCGCCAAAAACTTGATTGCTATAATCTGCAAGCGCACAGAGTCAATCAGAGTATAAATTCCTGGAGTATTCCAGGGTCGATCCCACGAAGAACACTATTAACTGTTATCTTAAATAATCAATTTGTTGATTAGGAAAAACGCAAATAATTAGAATTAATATAATTAAAAAGAATATTTATGAAATTAAAGCAAAGAAAATTCCAATTGAGAGAAGACTAGGGATTTGGGGTTCACCTATTAGATAATTAACTAACTCTCCTAAGTATTAATTCTTACGAATATAGTGATGATTGCTTCAAATATATCCTAATACTCCGTCGAGCTACTAGGTTGTATCCAATTAACTGTGATCATCCGTCGATATCTCACCAACATTAATTAAACCCATTAAGCAACAATCAAATATCACCACAAATACCTAAAGCTATGTCTAGTTTAGGTCAATTGTGTTTATCTTACGAGTTCTAGGTTCATAATTCACCTGTCAGTTCTTCTTATGAACCCTAATGTTAGAATTATGCAGTGGCCAGTCACACAATCAACAATTAAAATACATAAAATAAATATAATCAAGTTCAATTATTAAATTGAAATTGAAAGAATTAACACATGAAAAATAGTCAATTAATCTAATCAAGGCTAATCCAAATCCCTAATTAAAATTCTATCCGATAATCATAATTAAATGCATAAACAATTCAAGAAATATTATTCTAAAGATAGAAACGAGAATAAAAGTTGAGACAAGAGAAGCAATCCAAGCCTAAGAAGATTGTAGTCTCAATTGCTTCGTTGCCGCCGCTGCACGCCTAGCCACTGCAATTCCTCTCGCCTCTTTCCCCCTGTTCTGTTCTGTCCTCCTCTACTGCCGTACGCACCCAATATATAACCTAAGCCTTAATCCCTTTCCTTTTTCTCTTCCTGCTACGCAAAACCTCAAAGGAAAATAATAAAATAATATAACATAAAATAAAGATAAAGTAAAGACAATTATAACCTAATAACATAACTTAATTAAACTTAATTAAAATTTAAGATATAAAACTACCAAATAAATTTAATACTGTAGCTAAAATAAAACTCCTATTTATATTAATAAAAATGCAACATTAGCTTAATATTTATTAAAACCAATCTAAACTAGTAACGTATAAATAATATAATATTTATAATAAAATCGACCCTAAAATGTAATTTATTTATGCAACTCACTAACTAAAATTACTCCAAATAATGCCTAGAAATTAAGCTTATCTGTCTTATCCTAGGGTCAAACTTAGGCTCTGATACCAACTGTAACACCCCAAAATTATTCAACTTTTAAGACTTATATAATAAAGTTAATTCTCATTAAATCCCAAAACATAATATAATAGAGTACGGGATGCTATGCCACACTTGAGCTAGAGAACTCAGGTGCACAGGCTAACTAACTAATATCCTCAATAATGTAAATACATAAGCATGACACGCAGGCCAAAAGGGAAACTATCTACTCTACACTCCAAATCTCTAGCGCGCTCCGGTTTCTACTCCTCTATGCCTGAAAGCCAAATATATCTGTTCAGCGAGAGATGCTGGTAACCCACTCCAACGCGTTGAAATATAGTATGGATATATATATATATATATATATATATATATATATATATATATATATATATATATATATGTATATATATATATATACAAAAATCATTTCGAAGCAGGAAGATATATACTTAAGAGACACTAGTTTTAAAACCAGGAATAGACTCAGCAATTACGGACAAGCACATCAGACAACAATAAGCAGTAAAGTAGGAATAACATCATAAGGAATACGCATTTACGGTCACAAGCCACTTCTCAATTTCAAACCACACCATCAACCAATCATCACCCATATCACATAATCACTGATGGCGCCACGGGACCAATCGCATTCCCCGAACATGAGGGTTAATGCTTATAGCATTAACACGGCCCCGCAGCACCCTACCTCAGTACCGCGGTACGAGGGAAGTTGATCGCAACCAACCCTTTGAGAACCGCTGACGAACTCAACGTCGGACCACGATCCGACACACCGCTGACGCGCCCAGTTGGTGGACCGCGATCCCATTTACAAGGGGGGACTTTCGACCCTACACACCGTTGATGCGCACAATCGGTGGGCCGTAGCGGATCAAGCCCGACACACCGCTAAGCTAAACTCAGTCGGTGGGCAAAAATCCTCGGAGACTACGGTCCTATATACCGATGTCCCACCACTCGGTGGATCGCAGCCAGCCATAGCCCTACACACCGCCTGATTACTTAGGTCGGTGGACTACAGCCTTCCTCGGCTTGTTGGCCCTACACACCGCCTGGCGCGTCCAGGTCGGTGGTGTAACACCCCGTGTTACGAGTCCTAAAACCAATTAATTAATTAATTAATAGCCCAAGAGAAAGAATAAATTATAATGATTAATTAGGGAAAAAGGCCCACCGTAGCCCATGGGCCCTCCTATATAAACCCAACCCCTAATCCCAATAGGATTAGACCCTAAATAAGATCCCTAGATCTATAAATAGGGAACTTAGGAAGCACATAGAACTCCTCCCACAAGTCTAACGCCCCACCACCCCAAAAGAGCTCCAAGAATCCCCTTAGGAGAAATCAAGAAAGCAAGGAAGCTTAAAGAAAGATCCTTCATAGCCAAGGAATTAATTAAGGCTAAGAGGTAACCCATGTCTCAACAAAACCTATTTTCATAGCTATGATTCCCCCTTAGGGTTTCCCCCATATTATTGTGTATTGGCGAGATATGATGATTATTATTGATGTTTGATGTGATGATCCCATGAGGGATCTTGATATTGGGAGATTCTTGATGATTATTTGGAATTCTTGATGATTATGTGATGTTCTTGATAATTGTGTATTGTTCTTGATGCTTATGCGTTATTCTTACCGAATCTTGTAATTAGAAGACGAACCGTATTCTTGTTGATATAAAAGTGATTAGAACCCTAGGTTGTATCGTATGATATTATTCTTGGTTTATCGGGTGGGGAAATCGCATGTTTGGGTGTTGATTATGTTTAGAAAAGCATGATAGGTTATGTGCCGTTCGTTTCTCGTATTTGATCCGTTAATTGTCTACGTGTTGTCGTTAATTGCATTGTAAAGTGTCTAAGCATGGTTTCGGGTTCCACAACGGTTCCCGGGGCGAAATTATGTGATAAGAGTCAGTGGGGGGGTAGGTGGGGGGGTGGGGACCCGCCACCTACCCACGGCCGGAAATAGTATATCCGGCAGCGGGCAGCCGGCGGGCGGGCAACTGCCCGCCGGCGACCCGCTGCCCGGAACAGTGAGTCCGGCGGGCAGCCGGCGGGTGGCCCCCCACCCACCGGCTACCCGCTGGAAATTCCCCCAACATGGGATCCCGCCTTCCCCGTTTGATGTTCCCCGTTCCCCGTGGTGTCCCAACGGACTCCGTTTATCGTGCCTATGTCTAGTTTGATGTTTCGGGTACCGTTCGTAGGTTTATGAGTCTATTATATTGCATGCTAGTTGAATTGGTATC